TCAATCTGCTGATATTTTCTTTAGGATCTTGCATCTGTATTCTTCAGGTTTGGCTTATCAGTAGATTCTTTGACACAATATTGATTCAATCTGCTGATATTTTCTTTAGGATCTTGCTTCTTTATTTTTCAGTAGGTTTGGGTTATAGTTCCTGGGCCCCATCAACTTTTAAAAATATTTTTTGTCCGGGTTGGTGTCAGGAGTGTGCTAGTTTAATAAGGGGAAGTTTCTACCATTTTCTGTGGTTTATTTATTTTGTTTTTACAGACAGGGTCTTGCTGTGTTGCCCAGTCTGGTCTTGAACTCCTGACCTCAAGTGATCCTCCTGCCTCAGCCTCCTGAGTAGCTGGGATTATAGACGTGCCACCATGCCCAGCTTGTGATTTATTTCTTGAGCATTTGAAGGTGCCCTGTAGCTGGGAGAGGGAAGGCTTGCTGCAGATGGCACTCGCTTTTGGTTAATCTTGGCAGGGCCTCCCCGAGCTAACAGGAGCCCCTCTCTTCAGTGCAGGTCGTAATCTGAAGGAGTGGCTGAGGGAGCAGTTTTGTGATCACCCGCTGGAGCACTGTGAGGACACGAGGCTCCATGATGCAGCCTACGTCGGGGACCTCCAGACCCTCAGGAGCCTGTTGCAAGAGGAGAGCTACCGGAGGTGAGTGGCCTGCCCTGGGGCTGGTCCGGGTGCGCGGGCCCTTCAGGTCTGCACAAAGCTGAGCCCCACAGTCCCTGTGCAGATGCAGACCCTGATGTTGGGAGGGATGGGTTCCAGTTTTAGAGGACGGGGATAAAGGAGAATCAGGCAGCATGGGCAGAGTTGTAGGAGACAGCCAGACAGTGTGGGCAGGGAGCCCTGAGTTCAGGTCCTGCTCTGTCATTGACCTTAGTGTCTTCTGGCAACTTCTGGCCTTCTGTGGGTCTCAGCCTCCTGATGTCACTCCTGAAGGTACCACTGTTTCCCTCTTCAGTGGTGGCCCTGCCCCATCTTGGGTCTCTCGTGGCTCTCGATTGCAGGCGCTTCTGTGTGTTCACCCTGCTTCACCAGCTTCCCTGGTGCCCTTTCCTCTAGCTTCTCAGGCCCTCAGTCATTTGCCCGCGGGACCTGGGCCTCAGCCTTAGGCCCTTTACCTCATCAGCCTTCTCCTTACTGTTCCCCTCATCCGTGGTCCCCTGCCCTGGCCTTGCCAAACTCTGCCTGTCCCCACAAAACGTCTCCAGCCCTTCCTTCGCGGCAGGTGACGCCTGCCCCCCCTCCCCGCTCAGGCTGCTGGGAGAGCAGAGTCCGCCTACTTTCCGGTGCCTGCTCTCCGGTGCCTGCTCTCCGGTGCCTGCTTTCCGGAGTGTTCTCTGATTGTTCTGCGGGTCTAAGGTCGGGAGTCCCAGCTACAGCTTAAACTCAGCGGCAGCCAGGAACTATCCATGCTGCTGTTGTGTTTCTGCTTTCCCTTCAGGACCCACATGCCAGTGCAGTGATAGAAGCAGTGCCTGCATGTTTGTGCCGAGACTAATGCCACAACTTTTCTTTGCATAGTTCCCAAGAAAAGGATTTCTAGCAGTACAGGAATGTATTTCTTCATTTCCTTCTAGTGTCTTAGCAGTATTTAATCAGAACAGATATCAGTATGTAAAAGAAAAATTCCAGAAAGGACTGTCATAGGAAGACGGATGGATGACGCACGGATATGTAAAGTGGATGACTCAAGCCCAAAGAAAACCTTAATTCAACTTGCAGATGTAACAGAATGAAATAGAGTTCGGTGAGGTCTCAGCCCAAGTCTTTCCACATTGCATTTCCCAGCACTGTTTCTCCTCCTTCTTTTACTCAGGCTCCAGGCATCTCTGGTTCTTTACATTTTCCCATTGCTATTTTCTTCGGTGATGAGTTGCTGGAGTGTTCCTCTACTTTCCTGGGTAGTCAGAGCCTACACACAGCTGGCGGAGGAGCCCCGAGGGCTGGCTTGGGAGCTGCTTCCGCTGCATGTTCCTGGGCCCTGGTTTGGTGCTCTGGACCCCTGAGCTTTGTTCTCAGTGACACTGGGAGCTCGCTGTGAACCCATTGTGGTCGCTGCCTTGCTGGGTCGGTGGGTGGGGCAGGCATTTGCAGTCTGATTGTGACATCTGCCGAGAGCTGAGTCTGGACAGGTTCCTCTGCTGCTCTTGGCCAGGGGTGTAGCTCTCGTGCCACCTTAGTGATTCCTTCAGGCCTTGATTTGTGCAGTGTTAGAGTTTGGGGGCCTACATAGTCAGCTAGTCCTGGTGAGGATGCTGAGGCCCAGAGAGAGGCCCAGCCTCAAGCCTTCACAGATGGTAACTGGGGAAGAGCAGACTAGGGCTCTCACCCAGACTCCTGTTCATTCGGCACTGCCTCCCAGGCAGACCCTTCCCACCTTTGTAGAAGAAGGCACTTCGGATGGCAGTCGGGAAATAAAGAACTAGAGATCTTAGTTTTGGTGCTGATCATTCCGCTGGTGCCTTGAGTTTCCTGTCCCTGGAATGGGGCTCGTAATGCCTGCCCTGCCATGCCCAGGTCCCATAGGGGAAATGTGTGAGAGCGTTTCAGAAGGCAGAGCCCAGGTGGAGGTGTTATGAACCAGAGGGGGACCGTGTCCATGCTGCCAGGGTGAGGGGAGCAGTGCAGCCCGTCCCTGTCCTGCGGCTGCCTCTCATGAGCCCCTCATGTTCCTCCTGCAGCCGCATCAATGAGAAGTCTGTCTGGTGCTGTGGCTGGCTCCCCTGCACACCACTGCGAATTGCGGCCACTGCAGGCCATGGGAACTGTGTGGACTTCCTCATCCGGAAGGGGGCCGAGGTGGATCTGGTGGACGTAAAAGGACAGACGGCCCTGTATGTGGCTGTGGTGAACGGGCACCTAGAGAGTACCCAGATCCTTCTTGAAGCTGGCGCGGACCCCAACGGAAGCCGGCACCATCGCAGCACCCCCGTCTACCACGCCTCTCGCGTGGGCCGGGCTGACATCCTGAAGGCCCTTATCAGGTCAGTCCTGCGGAGCTCGCCTGGCTCCTGCAGCCACTTCATTTTTCTTCTCTGTATTTGCAGTTTTTCTGTCTTTAGAATTCGGCTCTTTAGATGACTCACCTGTTTTGCTGGTCTTCTGAAGAGCTGCCTCTTGACTTTATCAGTTCTCTTTGTCTTTCTGCTTACCTGTTCCTTTATATCTACTTTTATCTTTTTCTAATTTTTTGTTTTTTTCCCTTTTGAGTTGATTGCTTATTCATTTTTTCTTGATTAAGAATGCAAACTTGCAGGGCCGGGCGCGGTGGCTCAAGCCTGTAATCCCAGCACTTCGGGAGGCCGAGATGGGCGGATCACGAGGTCAGGAGATCGAGACCATCCTGGCTAACCCGGTGAAACCCCGTCTCTACTAAAAAAATACAAAAAACTA